TCATAAATGATTTATAGTAATTATAGCTTTAGTCAGTGAGTCATAAATGATTTATAGTAATTATAGCTTTAGTCAGTGAGTTATAAATGATTTATAGTAATTATAGCGTTAGTCAGTGAGTCATAAATGATTTATAGTAAGTATAGCTTTAGTCAGTGAGTCCGCAATGATTTATAGTAATTAAAGCTTTAGTCAGTGAGTCATAAATGATTTATAGTAATTATAGCTTTAGTTGGTGAGTCATAAATGATTTATAGTAATTATAGCTTTTGTCAGTTAGTTATAAATGATTTATAGTAATTATAGCTTTAGTCAGTGAGTTATAAATTATTTAAGATTGTTTTTTATAGATGAGGACTTGCTGATTTGTATATCTTTTTTACTTCTTGTGATTCGATTTCATTACCTATATTCTATATTAAGTTAACAAACTTGCCTATTAGGAGCACCAGCGATGTTCATTAGGCTATACAATTATGATATTTGATGCGAAAGCTGGAAACACTTATGTCTGTTTAAAAGTTGAATCTGTGTTTCCTATGTTATGTCTTCTACCTTGACTCGATATGGAGTTATCGGAAATAGCGTTTTGTGGAGCGTCCCATGCTGTGTTTGATAGAGCGTCTGCAGTTGTATTTTGTTGAGGGCCCCAGTCTGCGGTTGGCGGAAGGCCGGTGACGGTGTTTTGAGGAAGGACGGTGGAAGATCCCGCAAATTCCGAGCCCCCCGTGACCATCAGTGCTGCATTCGCTTGGTTGGTGGGCGTGTATTTGAACATGTTCGGAGTAACGATGTTAGCGGACACCATCACACTCCGACACATACAGATCTGTAAAACACATAGGAATACTATGCAAATATTTTTTTTAACTTTTACATAAATGTACATCATATTCAGTTTAAGAGAAGATTCAAACACAGTGTGTATTTAAAAATAAAACTAACATTCCTTATTTACTAGTCAGGTTCCAATATTCTGATAATTGGCCCAGGAGTATCGTATTTGCTGAGACGCTTGGAACACGCGCAAAAGTAGCAAGAGGAGGAGAGACTAGTTGTTACTACCAAGGAAAGGAAATTAAATCAATGCAGAGATAAAGTCATGTGTTTTCATGTTATTTTCGGTCACTGCTTAGGTTACTGGTAAATAAACAATATACGACAGTGTCAATATACGACAGAGTCAATATACAAATTTATGAATTAAGACAGAATTAAAGCTAGTTAAAAGTAATCCTGCAGTGTTTGAAATTACACATAGTGAAAGATGTACATGGAAAGAAAGTTTTGTTTTTCTGTGGATGCAACGAAAAATCCACACGAACAAATGTATGTACACCTTACTTGACTTCGAACCAAATCGTAGTTCTATTTTTATCCATTTTACGGTCAGCTACATTGTATGATGGTTTTGTTACTTATCAATCATACCTGTCAGCTGAGAGAACATGGGTGATTTTGTGAGATTCGCATATATAAGTATAGTCTGTTTTAAAACTAAAACGTAAATGGCGTATTAATTTCTGTAAATCAGAGAACGTCCATATTATAACGTGTCTATTAGGTAGTCACAATGATGTTGGATTCATGGCTCATGCGCATGTCACTAAAATATGATGATTTGGTATTGATGTTATGTAATGGTAGTATATTGGTATCAATGTATCCTCGCCTAGTAGGACACCTGCATAATATTACATGATGAAGAAAAATATAACGAAAAAACGACGTTTAAAAACGAAACAGACGGAATGAATCTTGACTCTGAACGAAAATTGCGTGAAAATATAATACTAAATATAAAATAAATAAAAAATAACAATAAAAAATTGAAAACAATTATAACCAAAAAAAATCCATACTACAAATATCTTTAAAAATATATAAGTGTATGGAAAGAATAAAACAAAGAAATACATAACAGGCAAGGAAATGAAAGCAAAAAGAATCCAAAAAGGAGGATTTTAAAGCAACGCGAATTTGTCTCCTGGCGCGCTAGACGTGGACATACATTGACTAACAATAGTCTTCACCAGTTATTTAATATCATTTTAAAAAATGTAATTGTATTTTGATGACTTACCCCAACGACCAGGAGATAACGGTTGGGGTCCATGTTGGAGTCGGGACGGCAGGTGAGTATTGTAGCTGATAGCACACTTGTCTCTAACCATCTCGGGGTTAATACCCCCAGGTGTAATTCGTAATAGACTGATATCATTGGACAGGTGAGGCTATATTGCATGGTTTATGTGTATCAATTTTCCGACTAAAACGCCCAGTAAATTAATGGCGGGTGTCACATGGCTGTGTTGGAGAGTTCTTTTATCCTGGGATTGGTGTCAGACAGGACAGGCAGTGCCGTTAAAAACAAAACCATGATCAAAGTAGACAGGTGTCACACGACAGCTCTGTTAAAGCTACGTGGACGAACAACAATAACTTCATCGAAATCTGGACAATAAGGCTGCAAGACCTGTACACTACATAACAAAAAAAACCAGGAATAAGCAATAGACTTCTTAAAAAAGTAATAATTGTGATCCAACGCTTCAGTTACAGACAACGTACCCTCCAAATACCCTCTCGGTAAACACAGTAATGAAAACGACACAAATACCCTCTCGGTAAACACAGTAAGAAAAACTACACAAAACCCCTCTCGGTAAACACAGTAATGAAAACTACACAAATACCCTCTCGGTAAACACAGTAATTAAAACGACACAAATACCCTCTCGGGAAACACAGAAATTAAAACGACACAAATACCCTCTCGGAAAACACAGTAATTAAAACTACACAAATACCCTCTGGGTAAACACAGTAATTTAAACTACACAAATAACCTCTCGGTAAACACAGTAATTAAAACTACCCAAATACACTCTCGGTAAACACAGTAATTAAAACTTCCCAAATACACTCTCGGTAAAAACAGTAATTGAAATGACACAAAACCCTCTCGGTAAACACAGTAATTTAAACTACACAAATAACCTCTCGGTAAACACAGTAATTAAAACAACACAAATACCCTCTCGGGAAACACAGTAATTAAAACTACACAAGTATAATATTATAAGTAATTAAAACTTCATAAATACCCTCTCGGTAAACAGAGTAATTAAAACGACACAAATACCCCCTCGGTAAACACAGTAATTAAAACAACACAAATACCCTCTCGGGAAACACAGTAATTAAAACTACACAAATCCCCTCTGGGTAAACACAGTAATTTAAACTACACAAGTATAATACTATAAGTAATTAAAACTTCACAAATCCCCTCTCGGTAAACAGAGTAATTAAAACGACACAAATACCCCCTCGGTAAACACAGTAATTAAAACAACACAAATACCCTCTCGGGAAACACAGTAATTAAAACTACACAAGAATAATACTATAATTAATTAAAACTTCACAAATACCCTCTCTGTAAACAGAGTAATTAAAACGACACAAATACCCCCTCGGTAAACACAGTAATTAAAACGACACAAACACCCTCTCGGTAAACACAGTAATGAAAACGACACAATTACCCTCTCGGTAAACACAGTAATTGAAATGACACAAAACCCTCTCGGTAAACACAGTAATTAAAACTTCCCAAATACACTCTCGGTAAACACAGTAATTAAAACTTCCCAAATACACTCTCAGTAAACACAGTAATTAAAACGACACAAATACCCTAAACACAGTAATTAAAACTACACAAGTATAATATTATAAGTAATTAAAACTTCATAAATACCCTCTCGGTAAACACAGTAACGAAAACGACACAAATACCCTCTCGGTAAATACAGTAATTAAAACTTCACAAATACCCTCTCGGTAAACAGAGACATTAAAACGACACAAATACCCTCTCGGTAGACGCAGTAATTAAAACGACACAAATCCCCTCTCGGTAGACACAGTAATTAAAACGACACAAATGCCCTCTCGGTAAACACAGTAATTAAAACAACACAAATACCCTCTCTCGGTAAACACAGTAAGAAAAACTACACAAAGCCCCTCTCGGTAAACACAGTAATGAAAACGACACAAATACCCTCTCGGGAAACACAGTAATTAAAACGACACAAATACACTCTCGGTAAACACAGTAATTAAAACGACACAAACACCCTCTCGGTAAACACAGTAATGAAAACAACACAAATACCCTCTCGGTAAACACAGTAATTAAAACTTCCCAAATACACTCTCGGTAAACACAGTAATTGAAATGACACAAAACCCTCTCGGTAAACACAGTAAGTAAAACGACACAACTATAATACTATAAATAATTAAAACTTCACAAATACCCTCTCAGTAAACACAGTAATTAAAACTTCACAAATACCCTCTCGGTAAACACAGTAATTAAAACTACACAAGTATAATATTATAAGCAAACTTGACAATTAAAACTATAAAACATCCTATTAGGAACAAAGCAATGCATAGTAGGTAGAGTCTTGTTAGAAAAAATCAATGGAGAAAAAGGAATAACTTCCTGGAGTCCTGAGGTTTACTTGACCAAAAGCTAATATTTTATATCAACTAGCAGTCTGAAGTGGACGACAGCCTTACATATAATAGTGTGTATCAGGTGCTATTGCTCGGATGTTTTGAAATTCCGCTACAGTGCAAATAAAAACACATGTATATATACATTCTTCTCGCTTCTAAGACAATGATTTGGCTGTCATATACAATACATATGTAAATTTCATATATGTTGTTTAAAAAAAATCTTGAAAGGAATTCTGAAGTGTGCACAAAAATCGCAATAAAAACTCAAAATCAATGTCAGTCATTAAGGCAAAATACAAAGTATTTTTTTTTTATATCGAGACCCTCGAAAAAGGATAAGAGAAATAAGTAATACCATGTCCTCAAAGTGCGGACCCGGGTAGTGACAAAGAAACAACAAAGCACACTAATAACCTAATATAAAAAACCGTCAATATTAATATGGCTCGTGATAGCAACCATAACAATTGTTCCTGTATTCGTTGACAACAACCCTGCACGGTAAGTCATAGGATAAGCGATTTGCCTGATGCTATTGTGTAGCTTAGCTAGCTACCAATGAATTTCAAAAACCATATATAAATGCATCCGGAAAGAGTTCTCGATGCTAAAGCAGGCATGACGGTGGAAGTTACGCTCCTAAATGCCAAACTGTATGTACGACTAGACCGTGTGATTACGAGGAGTTTTTCATCAATCTATGCTGACACGTGCTGGGCACCGTGACCCAGTTTTCGGCATTAACAAAGACGTATCCAACATGGTTTCTGGCCCGAACACGAAGTCATTTATCAGACAACGTTGGGGAATTAATTGAAATGACATCTATAATAACCTATTGTCTTGAATCACCGGGTTTTCGTCCAATGCCTCGGGCACAGTAAGCTAAGGTATGGTACATTGGACATTTCTCCAAATCTTTGCTTTATATAGCAAACATTTATCAAATGAAGAGCATCACTTATCGGGGACATAACTTCTCGTTTTCCTTGCTGTAATAACAGGGTCTATTTTGTGCTCATTATATACTTTCTAATTCTGCCAAGAATTGCTTCTGACAGTCACTGTCATTGTTAGAAATCCCAATACAGTCCAATCTGTGTTCAGAAACAACCTTTGGAAGTCCGTAAAGTGGTCTCTGGTTACAAGTGGTACCTTAACTTATGTCCAGATAACCTGAAAATAACTATATTGGAAAAAGAGACAATACCCAAAAGTAAAGATAACGGGGCTTAAAAAACTCAAACAAAAGGGACGGGGCGAAATAAAGGAGACAAAACAAACTTGAAAAGAAACGGAAACACATAATTTAATGAAATTAGCACAAAACAAACAAAAGAAGTGGAGACAAAACAAACTCCAACGAAAGTAAAATCCGTTAAGATTGAACATGAAAGTAGACAAAACAGAAACCCAACAAAAGAAACCTGGACGAGGTGTTCCGGATCTTATATAAATATGTCACTCGTCATGATGTCTACCGTCAGATCCAGGAACGTGTAACAATGTGAAAATACCTCTGTTGATGGTGGTCATTGTTATATCAGGAAATCAGGTGAGGAGGAAGTGATGACGTATAACGACGACATAGCCACAGCTACCTTATTTCTCACTTACAAACAATAATCTGGTCTGGCCTCACTTATTCCGACTGTCGGACGTTCTGTCTTGTGGCTTATTAATTTCAATGTCGTCTTTCTCAAAAGTTGCATTTAGCACAGTTTGTTTTATAACCATGTCCTCAAAGTGAGGCCAAGGGTAGTGACAAAAAAGTACTAAAAAAGTCAATATTCATATTGCTCGTAATAACAACCAAAACAATTGTTCCTGTATTCGTTTTCATCAACTCTAGAGGGTACGTGATATGAAAGTGATAAGCCTGATGCCGTACTATGTAGCTTAGCTACAGTAGCAATATAACAATACCCAATGTTTAAGTTCATAAATGTATCCGGAAGTAGTTATTGATGATAACACAGGCATAACGGGAAACAATGCACTCCTTAATTTCCCTTTTAATGTTCTGATGCAGGATGAACTGTTTGTTCGACTAGAACGTATACTAACGAGTTTTTCATCAATCTATGCTGACACTTACACATTGCAGTCCGTGACCTGGATTTTTGTCATTAACAAAGACGCATCCAACATTGTTTCTGGCCAGAACACGATGTCATTTATCAGACGACATTGTTTCTGGCCAGAACACGATGTCATTTATCAGACAACATTGTTTCTGTCCAGAACACGATGTCATTTATCAGACAACATTGTTTCTCGCCAGAACACGATGTCATTTATCAGACAACATTGTTTCAGGCCAGAACACGATGTCATTTATCAGACAACATTCTTTCTGGCCAGAACACGATGTCATTTATCAGACAACCTTGTTTCTGGCCAAAACACAATGTCATTTATCAGACGACATTGTTTCTGGCCAGAACACGATGTCATTTATCAGACAACATTGGGGAATTAGATGAAATAACATCTATAATAAGCCAATCTCATTAAAATCAGATGTTAATAAAAATACCTATGGTACGTACATTTGACATTGCTCCAAATCATTGCTTTATAGCGTA